TCTATCTCATCATGAACTAAATCAGTTTGTTCTTTGACAGAAAATTAGGCCAAGCACAGCAGCTCATACCTGTAATCCCAGCACTTTGGGAGGCCGAGGTGGGCGGATCACGTGGTCAGGAGTTTGAGACCAGCCTGGCCAACATGATGAAACCCTATCTCTACTAAAAATACAAAAATTAGCCAGGCATGGTGGCTGGCACCTGTAATTCCTGCTACTCGAGAGGCTGAGGTAGGAGAATCGCTTGAACCCAGGAGACAGAGGTTACAGTGAGCCACGCCTACGCCATTGCACTCCAGCCTGGGTGACAGAGCGAGACTCTGTCTCAAGAAAAGAAAAGAAAAAATTAGTCAGGGATCCCCGTATTAAAGCTGAATTGCCCCTAAAGACCTGTTTAAAAGATAGGTTGAATGAATCTAATTTTTCTCTTTCCTATTTCTCATATTTTTGAGTAGAATAATCCTAAAGGTAGAAGGTGGAAACTGCATATATGGAATGAACTATAAACTCTAGGTTTACAATAAAGCAACAATGTTAGACTTAAAAGAATATTAGTACTTAGATATCAATATTAAAGAATATCCTTTAACACAAATCAAGAAATATAAATGAGAATATGTATAACAAAAAATTAGAATTAGTTATTTATTTTCTTGAGATATTACATTTATAAAAGCATTTGCTTCTAGTGACTAATTTTTCATTGATTATATACACATTTCCTAGGCAACTTGGGTCAAGAGAGCTTTTGTCTTGATCTACAAATGATATTTCCTCCCAGGCTTTGAAACAACTTATATTCACCCTTTGGATGTGTCATCAATCTGTTATGTGTGAATGGACACTATTTTTTCCTGTACTTGGACAAATGTTTCATTTCCAGAAAATTAAATTACTTAAATGCAACAAACAGATGGCCAGAGAGTCCTGTAGTAGCTTGTTCTGCCATGAAATTTATCTGCATTTTGTGGAAAGCCTGAGAAGTTGGACAAAAATCTTTTTGCACGCTATGCCATAGTTGATGTTTCAGTCTTCTTGCCATTTTAAAATAATTAATAATTCTGTTACTTTTGAGATTAGGAGGAAATAGTTAAAAGGCTATTTCATATTTATATGAAAAATTAAAACTGTTTATGAAAAGTCACATGGACCACCTTGATTGAATTTATCTTAAAGTCCTACTTAAGGTATTAAGAATAATAGAATAATTACACATGAAAATAGAGAAATAATAGCTAGAACTTTTTTCTTATTTCCAGTCTTCAAATATATTCTCTAAGCTAATGACATATTCTTATCTGTACAATATAAGAAGTTTAACTAAGCGTGATCTACATATTCTGTTTTATTTTCTTTTGTTATTATCAAATATAAAAACAAGTTTAGTCATTTTTTTCAATGCAAAAGAAATACAGTTCATAAATATCTATGATGGCCTTGTCTCAACCATATATAAATAAATGTTAAAATATACTTGTTTTGTATCAACTATTCAGATAAAGCAAAATCACTTTGCTACTGGGAAGATTTTTTTTAGCTGTCATTCAATACGTACTTTGGGAAAACTGTAAAGTATAAATATGCTCATAAAAGAGCAAGGGCCAAGTGAAATGAAGGTACAAGTTTAAACTTTTCTAAGACTTCTTTTTATCACTTGTGTATACTTGGCCTTGAGTCTGATGTTTTCATTGAATGTGTATTTTTTAAAATCTGTATATCTAACCACATTCAAAGACCTTTATTGGGAAATAACAAAATGTTCCCTTATCCTTTTCATCAAGATGCTATTAGAGGACGTTTATAGATCCCTTCAGAGCTGACAATGAAGATGGCACAAAATAGTTGATAATGAACACTCTTAATATTAAATCTGTCCCTTATTTTTGACCTAGAAGATTCTGCGAATACCCCAATTCTGAAAGTAAACATGTATTAAAGTTCCACCCTCTGGACAGGGGCACCTCACGTCATGTTGTGGAGTAAGAAAAAGGAATAAATTAAGTACTTCTAAGAACTCATGTACTAGCTGGGCGCAATGGCTCACACCTATAATCCCAGCACTTTGGGAGGCCAAGGCGGGTGGATCACCTGAGATCAGGAGTTTGAGACCAACCAAGCCAACATAGAGAAACACCATCTCTACTAAAAATACAAAATTAGCTGGGCGTAGTAGCGCATGCCTGAAATCCCAGCTACTTGGGAGGCTGAGGCAGGAAGATTGCCTGAACTCCTTAGGCAGTGGTTGCAGGGAGCTGAGATCGTGCCATTGCACTGCAGCCTGGGCAACAAGAGTGAAACTTCATCTCCAAAAAA